ATCTGAATAGCCTAGGCGCCCGGAGACTTCTTAATCCGGCCCTGGTGGTGGGTGACACATTCAACAGTTTAGACAATGAGGTGGTGGGTGACACATTCAACAGTTTAGACAATGAGGTGGTGGGTGACACATTCAACAGTTTAGACAATGAGGTGGTGGGTGACACATTCAACAGTTTAGAACCTATTTCCGGGTTTAACTCTGCATTTGCTTGATTGTTGCAACACATATTGTTAGGAACCTGGAGTGAGGTGCATGTGTACCTCCGAGGTCTGGTGGGCTCACCCAAAAACTATGACAAATTTAATAGATGAAAAGGGAAAATACAGACATTTACACATGCCTGGTGAGCTATATATTTGAAGTTACACAGGAAGATGATATACTCACCGTTCTCATTACTGAATATAAATGTAATTTTAATTATTGCTTTGAACACTTCAATTTCATAACTGGACCGATAAATATTGTAAACTTAAATCCCTTGTCATAACAATGTAGTCACGATACTGCACTTCACTGTCATTGTATTGTACTGCACTGCCATGGTATCGCGATGCACTGCAAGTACATAACGATACCATAGCAGTGGTCACCAATACCAATGACCTTAGTATCGCCATCTCTGACTTCCTTCCTCGTTGACTGGCCAATCACCTGCTTGCTGATTTTTTAACTAACTTTTGACAGACTCCTGACTGGCTGCACCTCAACCATCTCTCCCTCAGTTACACTGAGTTTTTTTTTTTTTTTTTAGAAAATTCTGCTTTGGAAAGTTTTGCCGCTGCTTTCACTCTAGCCTGCTAGAGACAGCCAATCACAGATGCCCGGGCTCCCCAGCAACCAATAATAATAATAATAATAACATAATAATAATAATCATAATATCTTTATTTCTAAAAGTACATGTACAAGGTATACAGTCCTAACTGACATCAATGACATACTACTGTATAGAAAGCCGATTGTTATGCAGAGCATTTCGGGCAGATTATGTTACTTTTGCCCCAGGATGCGACCCACACCAGTCGACTAACACCCAGGTACCCATTTTACTGATGGGGAACATAGATAACCGATGTAAGGAAACACGCCCAATGTTTCTACCCTCCGGGAATCGAACGCGGACCCTCGCCGTGTGAAGCGAGAACTTTAGCCATCAGGTTAACATACACCCAGGTGTCGCCTTGAGCCATCACATTTACAACCTATGTGAAAATATATAGGTTCGTATATTAAGATGGTGGGAGTGGTTAAGTCGTATGTGTGAGTGATGTTTATGTGCTATGTTATGCTGCCTTCACTCCAAAAAATCATGTTATTTTCCTTTCAGGTGAAGTGTGTGATAAGAGACTGGCTACTGAAGATACTTTGCTTTACCCCAACCTTGGCTGCTGCCGCTGCCTCCACCGCCACTACCATTATCATTATACAGCATGAGATCCTGAAGCAGTTCCTTCCATCACAGCAGTTCAGACCGCATAGCAGGTGTAAAAAGCCTGGCTACTGGCATTGGAAAGACCAATAATCTTTATCTGTACGAGCCCAGTGATTAGTCAGATCAACATGCAAATCTGTCGATATATTGATTGCTCACTGTAGATACGTTAAGAAGTGAGTGTTGCAGAGACGTTAAGTGTCAGTTTTCTCAAGTTTACAATTATTATTCGCTCGGTAGAACAGTTGGAAGAACGTAATGACTGCACGATTATACGACTCTCATAATTTTACTCCTTATAAATGCAAGTGTTTTGGTTTGTGCGTTTAAGCATTCGTGTTAGTCATTTTTCAAGCACACAAGTGAACTAAAACAGACAGCCCCTTCCCTCCCTAGTTCTCTCATCCTTTATCTCACCAAATATAGTATGACAAAATGGCTCAGAGTAATCTCATAGGGCACAGTTATCTTGCCCACGAGTACAACCTTAGTAACTCCGGCTTCGCTAGTCACCCCAGGACCAAAAGCTCTTCCTACATCATCAATGCCTTTCCTCTTAACTGTGAAACATATCAAGTTTACCAGTGTAACCATTCCTATGTACCCAGTATCGTGAATCAAACTTGCCAGTATACTCAAAATATTCCAAAAGATTCTGATCAACATGTTTCTGACAGTCACATACGTCAGGAAGAGTTGTTGTCATTAAAGCATCAGCAGCCCCAGGATGATAGCGGTGACAAATTCCTGTATCATCCGAAGCTGACTGCCGGTATCACCCTTAATCATCAAGGTGACTCCAAGCTCCCACCCCACCAAGATTTACACAGCAAACATCAAAATAACTCTAAGCTGCAACTCTACCAAGACTTAAGCAGCAGGCATCAAGGTGACTCTACACTCCCACTCCACCATGATTTAAGTAGCAGACATCAAAGTGACTCTAAGCTCCCACTCCGCCCAAATCTGCATAGCAGAGAAAATCGTCGAGCTCTTCCTAGCCCTCATCCTATCTGGTTGTCTCTCGTGAAACGCGGAGAAGCAGCTACCACTCCGAGACAACCGTTTTCGGGAAACTCAGACTACCAAGCTGCAACTGAATTAATGTCTACTATGGAAGCTTTACGAAACAAGGGTTCATCGCGGCCGTCCGTACCTCCCTGTTCCAAAACTCTACTGACGGAAGAAGAGCTGCACTCTGCGCTGCCCACACAAGATATGAATGAAATATTGAATCTTCAAAAATTGTATTTCGAAGCCTTCTCATTGTTTCCCACCCTTGAAAAGATCAATAACAATGAAACCGACAGATTATGGCAACTTTATAGTCTATTCGTAGAACGACAGAGTTCATTCTTTGGCAAAATACCATCGTTTAGGTTGCTGGCCACCTGTGACCGCCATAAGTTGCTGCGCCTGGCTGTGGGCATCAGCATACACTTGTCTGCTGCACAGCTCATGGATGAACAGGAGTACACGTGGCCACGCAGAGACGCTCCTCTCATCACCACTCACACCAAAGTGCTCTCTGCTAGCACCATTCGCCAGGTTGTCTCTCATGAACATTTTATTCTCCTCATGACATTTTATACACACTACACTCGCCTCTTTGCTGATCCAAGAGTAGTTTTATTAACGCAGGTGCTTTCTCTCTTCTGTGAGGTTCCAGAACTGAGTGATGTCGATGCGATCAGGCAGAGACGACAACATTATCTGGGTTTGCTTTCCCGCTACTTGACAACAGTCTATGGCAGGCAGCCTGGTGAGCGCCTTCTTACAACTCTCCTCGTCAGCCAGGAAGAGGCAAGACAACTCTCTGCCATATACCAGCATGTGGAATTGTCTCCTCAAGTCCAGAGATATGCCTTAAGAAGCGATGCCCCTAATGTATTTACTGCAAATTTCCAGAAACTTTGCATCTTTGCACATAGCATTGTAGCAGCGAAGGTTAAAGACCAACGCCACGACACCTCCATGCAGGCCTCAGACAGCGCCTCCATGCAGGCCTCAAACAGCACCTCCATGCAGGCCTCAGGCAGCACCTCCATGCAGGCCTCAGACAGCACCTCCATGCAGGCCTCAAACAGCAACGTCACTGACCAAGTGACTGTGCTGAAGAAATTGCTCACACGTTTAGCCTGCCATGATGACCCCCACATGCTGGCTGCTGCCCGTCATGTACTTCCACTAGACCTCCTGCAACACTTCCTTCAGATTATGCAGTGAAGGAGTCTCGATCGGTATGAAACGTGGTTTAGTGTAAGGATGTTGCTATGGTGATATAATGATTCATACCAATGAATTCTCTTACATCCCAAACATTTTTAACCATCTATTAGACTAGTGTTAACGCCTGTGGTTAATCATCTCGGCAGAAAAAAAGTGCTCTTCCCGAAAGGGAAGCGCAGTGTGCAGGATCTGGTTGCATAGTGGGTCTTGACTTGAATATGTAACCAGATACATACACCAGGTATTCGAGGTTGTTCTGCTTGGACCTATTTTAACCAGACTTAGTTGCCAATACCAAGAGAGGCTGAGAGCACTGACAACTGCGGTGGGATTTCATCCTAGGTATGGTGCTAATGTAAATTTAATGGCATACATCAGATCACTAGTTGACTGCTTGCCCTCGTGTCAGATAGAATGTTTGGAGGGTCTGGAAAGTTGCAGAACCTGATATTCCGGGCATCAGAGATTGTATCACAGAAATAAATACCTTAATCAGTGTTAGTATGCTTAGGCAAACCAATCCAAATCCCTGCACAATAAGCTTCCAAACTCTCTTCACCATAGGCGAGCACTCCCCCAAATGGATAATGCAAATGGGAATTGACTTCCGAATAAGTTAAATACATAATATTTGTCACAGCAACAGCGAAACTTCCCTGCACTATGGGAAATTACCTCTCGAAATCACCATCAAAACTTTGTCCTAAAGACAAACATGATGTCATAGGTTGTATAGATCAGTCACACAGAATTCTCATTCAAAGATTATATGCATATTAATGTTTCTATTTACCAGTCCACTGGTACAGCTGGTCTTATCATGAAGTGTAATGGCTGCTGTATAGAAATTAAAGCAAGTATCAACACTTGGCCTTCCACCCTTCAAACTAAATTGTTTGCTATCCTCATTGTAATCAAATCGTCCATGTATCTGAAGGTAACTGTTAGTGATTCTCTATCATCTATAAATTTCATAAACTCCAACGAGTGTCAACTGTGACATGCTGGAGTTAGAAGCCAGACACAGATATGGTAGAATTGTAGACAGTGTCATCAGAGTACACCTGATCATCATATACATGATGAATTGGTAAAGGTGTATGCTTTGAAGAGGGTATTATTATTATTATTATTATTATTATTATTATTATTATTATTATTATTATTATTATTATTATTATTATTATTATTATTATATTATTATTATAATCACGGGAATCACTAAACCACTAGAGGTCATATTGCGCCTGGAGGAATGGGAGGCAATCAGGTTCGATCCAAGGATGGGTATTCCAGGTCCAATTTCATGGATCAAGAGCCCCTCACTAGCATCAAGGAGCCTCCCACAAGGGGTGCAGGGAAGGTAAATCATAAAGCTCAGACGAAGAACATGGAAACCAAAGGTTGCCATACTTAAACTAGTTAATTCTGTATACCACGAAGGGGGGTACTTACAGTGGCTGTCGGAATTTTTTTCCCCACCTTCAAAGTTTTTCGTCAATAACCAGAGAACGCCTCATCCGATTGGCTTCAAATTTAAAAGCTGGAGGACCATAACTAGAGGAAGGTTCAGGGTGTTATTTGGATGCGCCATTTTGACAATTTTATAACCCAGTAAGTTATCTTAGTTTCCATGTGATAACTTGAAAAAGCCTCTTCTGATCAGTATTAAAGTTTAAACACTGGAGTATCCTACTTAGACGACGGATTTAATTTATTGGGGCAGACATTGCAGAGTGACTGAAAAAGGTTGGCACTCGCCACATAAGGGTTACCTGGAGTTTATCTGGAGAGGGTTTCAGGGGTCAACGCCTCCGCTGCCCGGTCTGAGACCAGGCCTCATGGTGGATCAGGGTCTGATCAACCAGGCTGTTACTGCTGGCCGCACACAAGCTAACGTACGAACCACAGCCCGGTTGGTCAGGTACTGACTACAGGTGCCTGCCCAGTGCCTTCTTGAAGACAACCAGAGGTCTATTGGGCACATGAAATGGAATACGAAAAAATATATACAAGTAGGAAATAGAAGAGAAGTGCAGCAGCTGTGCAACATAAGGATATGCAAATAATTAAGGTAAAAACAGTTAAGGTTAACTACGTGAAATAAAATTATATGATTTGGCTGAATTTTTCCCATAAAATGCAACTGTAATATCAGCCTTGATTAAGAGTGTGAAAATTTATGTATTTTAGCTAAAATAGGAAGTATGTCATAAAATGTACAGGACCTGAGTAGCAAACGTTAAAAGAAATGTGTACACACTCCAGAAGAAAAAAAACGTGACTGAATTATAGGCGAGGAAAAAGGCGACCTTGTATGATTGGTTCCTGTGGCACCTGTAGTTTTCTGGTACGACCAGCAGACAATATACTTGACCCAGAGTATACCTGGAGAGGGTTTCGTGGGTCAACGCCTTCGCGGCCCGGTCTGTGACCAGGTCTTTCGGTGGATTAGGGTCTGATCAACCAGGCTATTGCTGCTGGCCTCACACAAACCGACGATGAACCACAGCCCTGCTGGTCAAGTACTGACTTTAGGTGCTTTTCCAGTGCCTTCTTGAAGACAACCAGGGGTCTATTGGTAATCCCCTTTATGTATGCTGGGAGGCAATTGAACAGTCCTGGGTCCCTGACGCTTATTGTTTTGTCTCTTAGCGTACTCGTGGCACTATGAATACTAAACAAAAAGCAAGAATATGAAGTACAAAAACAAGAGATAAGAATATTGAAATAGGAATAAAATTAGGAATAGGAATGGCCTACCTACCAGGAGAGTTAGGTTTTCTAGTTTCTAGTTTAATATCTCTATGTTGTACATGAATGGTACACAGTGCCGACAAGATGAAAATTAGACACATGTGCAACATCTTTAATGTGGACGTTTCGCCATCCAGTGGCTTTATCGATACAAATTCTAGGACATAATTTGAAGGCAGTATAACTGTATACAGAAGATGAAGTAATCAGTCTCTCAGCCTTGGAGTTGGTGTGAAGAGCACCACAGTCGTGAAGAATCTGGAGCACAAGCAAGAAGGTTGGCGCTTATATACTGGCGTCAGGTGAAAAGGGGACGGGTAGCAGACGAAGGCAATAAGGCATTGTCATTGGTAGTCGGGATTCCCCAGTAGAAGTAGGTCATACCCATGGGACGGGTTAATAGAAGTGAAGAAGGTTGTGGAGATGTCCTCTGAACCAAGATTCCATGATGTTGCAGTGTCTGACAAGTTATATATAAATGGTATACAATACCGACAAGATGAAAATTAGACACATATACAACATCTGGTTCAGAGGACATCTCCACAACCTTCTTCACTTCTACTAACCCGTCCATTAGGTATGACCCACTTCCACTGGGAAATCCCGCCTACCAGTGACAATGCCTTCGTCTGTTACCCGTCCCCTTATCACCTGACGCTAGTATATAAGCGCCAGCCTTCTTCCCTGTGCTCCAGATTCTTCACGACTATGGTGCTCTTCACACCAACTCCAAGGCTGAGAGACTGATTTCTTCATCTTCTGTATACAGTTATACCGTCTTCAAATTATGTCCTAGAAATTGTATCGATAAAACCACTGGATGGCGAAACGTCTACATTAAAGATACCCCAGATGTTGCATGTGTCTAATTTGCATATCTTTATTATGCACCCCATACCCATCCTGTGGGAGGTAGTAAAAGACATTACAAAGGTACACAATGGGTCCAGGGATTGGGCCGCAAAGTTTTGATAGCTGGACAAGTTACAAAGGTAATGAGCCATTAGGTAAGGTTTGTCAGGAAACAGGACAAGTGTTTCCTGACCCGGGTTTCACTCATATGATGACCCGCAGCTGGAGCTTTTGGCCATTTGACCGAGGCATTCCGCTGGTTTACCCGTCCACCCTTTTAAAAATTATAGGTATGATTATAACCATTAGATTACCAGGAGAGTGTGCCAGTACTTTAACAAAGAGATGGAGAGATAGAAGATAATGAGAGAACATAGTGGAAATGAGAAAAAAACAGGCTATCAACTGAATAATAAAATTACGTAGCTACCCTGCCACTAGTGCCAACTGTCTCTCAGAGACTTTCCCTTACCTTACCCAGAGCACAGACCCAGGACAGCTCTCCTTGTAGCATAGCAAATCCGTTTACTGAGACTGGGAGCACCAGGCACTAGCAGGATCCAGCTAGAGAACCGACAAGCCGACACTTGAGTATCTTTATTGGGGAAACGTTTCGCCAACCAGTGGCTTCCTCAGTCCAATACAGAGAAGAATGGTTGAAGATTGGGAATTTGAGGTAATCAGTCCCTTAGCCTGCAGTATGTACCTCTGTAATCTTTTGACTACCGCCCACAGGATAGGTATGGGGTGCATAATAAAAATATTTAACTAAACCTGGAGTCAATGTGATCGGTCCATCAGTCTTGATTAATGGAAAAAATGCGAGTTACTCAGGTTTGATCCAAGGAAGGGAAGGGTACCTCCAATTCCTTGGATGAAGAGCCTTTCACCAGCATCAAAGCACCACCTTCCTTGAAGAGTGATGGATAAGGAAACATGGATGGTATGGAGCTAGAAGTGCGTCGTGGGAAGTGCCTGGCACACCCAGGTAAACACCAGCGCCTGAGTAGGCAAGTACACAAGCCATTAATTTGACTCTCGGGGTACATACACCGAGAGGTGTGCATTTCAGGGTATGTACACCCAGACGTGTGTATCTTTCAGTGTATATGCACTGAAAGGAGTTTATCTCTCAGGGTACATAAACAAAGAGATGTGTGTATATCTCAGGGAATATATACCAAAAGATGTGTATCTCTCAGGGTATATACACCAAGTTTTTTAATCATTGTATAAGGCTTTAAATTCTAGTGTTAAGTATTCACTTCAAATTGCAGTTTTATTATTATTATTATTATTATTATTATTATTATTATTATTATTATATTATTATTATTATTATTATTATTATATTATTATTATTGTTGTTGTTGTTGTTGTTGTTGTTGTTGTTGTTGTTGTTGTTTTCACGGGGAATCGCTGAACAAATGAGGGTCCTTCAATGCCTGGGAATTGGAGGTAATAATGTTTGATCCAAAGAAAAGAAGAACAGCTTGAATCAAGAGCCCCTCACCGGCATCAAGGCATATCTCTCTTCATGCTTAAAAGAGATGGGACGTACAGAGACGACAACAAAGAAATGAGTGAGATACTTAGAGTTTGGTGAGCCGTTAACCAGACTAAGGGTCGACAATCTAAATGATTATTTTTTTATGACCGAGACTCGAAATTTGATTAATTGAAGAATTTCTGATGTAATCCTAACTCCACAGGACTTTGAAAAAGCAATAAATGATATGCCCATGTACTCTGCCCCCGGCCCAAACTTGTGGAACTTCGTTTCATCAAGATCTGCAAGAAACCTCTTTCACGCGCCTCAAATATTCGATGGAGAAGGAGTATAAACACAGGGGTCATCCCACAGTCACTAAAAACATGAGATATACCCTCACTCCACAAAGGTGGCAGTAAATCAGTTGCAAAGAATTACAGACCGATAGCACTAACGTCCCACATTATAAAAATCTTTGAAAGGGTTCCAAGAAGCAGGTTCGCCAACTACCTGGACACTCAACAATTGCACAACCTAGGTCACCATGGGTTTGAAGCAGGTCATTCCTGCCTCTTACAACTACTGGACCACTATGATATGGCCTTGAATGCACGGAAGGACAAACATAATGCAGATGTAGTATATACAGACTTTGCGGAAGCCTTCCACAAGTGTAACCATGGGGTAATAGCACACAAAATGCGTGATAAAGGAATAACAGGAAAAGTGGGTAAATGGATCTATAACTTCCTAATAATTGGAACACAAATAGTTACAGTAAACAGAGTAAAGTCAGGGCCGGCTACAGTGAAAAGCTCTGTTCCGCAAGGCACAGTACTCGCTCCCATCCTGTCCCTCGTCCTCATATCTGACTTAACAGAAATGTAAGCCACAGCACCGTGTCCTCCTTTGCTGACGATACCAGAATTTGCATGACAGTGTTATCCACTGATAACACTGTAAATCTACAAGCAGACATTAACCAGGTCTTTAAATGTTCCTCAGAACACAACATGAAGTTCAATGAGGACTAATTTCAATTACTCCCCTACGGAAAACTCGAAGAAATAAAAACTGGATCGGAGTATAAAACGAATTCCAATCACACAGTAGAGCGAAAAACTAATGTGAAGGACCTGGAAGTGATAATCTCAACGAATCTCAAAAAAACAATAATGTTTCTACCACATTTGCTAGGAAAATGATAAGATAATGAGAACCTTCAAAACTAAGGATGCCAAGCCTATAATGATTCTCTTGAAATCGCTTATTCTCTCTAGGCTGGAGTATTACTGTATACTAATGTCCCCTTTCAAGGCAGGCGAAATTTCAGACCTGGAGATTATACTGAGAACTTTCACTGCATGTATAAGCTCAATAAAGCACCTAAATTACTAGTAATGGTTGAAGTTCCTTGACCTGTAATCCTTGGAACGCAGGCGAGAAAAACACATGATAATATACATTTGGGAAATCCTTTTGGGACTAGTCACAAATCTGCATACAGATATCACTCCCTACGAAAGCAAAAGACTCGGCAGGCGGTGCAACATCCCTCAATGAAAAGGAGGAGTGTCATGAGTAAATAAGAGACAACACAATAAGTGTCAGGGGCCCAAGATTGTTTAACTTTCTCCCAGCGTACATAAGGTGGATTACCAATAGATAATTAGGTATCTTGAAAAGGGAGCTGGAAACATCTAAAGTTAGTACTTGACAATCCGGTTTGCGTGCGGCCGGCAGTAACAGCCTGGTTGATTAGACCCTGATCCACCGCGAGGCCTGGTCATGGGCCGGGCCGCGGGGGCGTTGACCCCTGGAACACCCTCCGGGTATGAGTCCTTCACACTCGAACCACAGACATTCCGAGTCTGGGGCCACAATCAAATGTTCCACTGCTCAGCCAAGCCAACCTTCACCTCCTGTCAACTATTTCACTATTCCTGGACTTATATTTATTTTTTTTTTTACGTGGAGTGACAAATCCACTTTTTACATTAAGTATAAATGGCGGTGGAGGCTTGAAACTCCTTCCGCTAATCACGAGATGCGCTAAATCTTCTCCAGTTAGTCCATGTGAAATCATTAATGCCAGCCCACATCCCAGCTCACATCTTGCTCCTGTATCGACCCTAATAGCCATGTTTACCTTGCATTCTGTTCGTGTGCTTCTATCAAGCACAACACACCTTCGCTCGCACTGTTTTCATATATCTTTCTTGTTGCTAAGATGTCTAAGTGCAGTTGGAGACAAAAAGAGTATTAGTGGAAATATTGATTTCGGGCCGTTCTAAGATTCTCTGTACCCTTCATATGCTTAAGCATCTTGTGTTTATAGTAAATCATATGCAGAATACAAAACTGTGAAAACACATTACCTCATAAAGAAGGATCACAGGTATCCTGAAGATGGCAGGTACGTGGAAATGGCAGTTATTTATACTTGGCAGTTATGCATATTTGACAGTTATGTGTACTTGACACTGAGTGGAGGAATGTCTTAGTAAATAACCTGTAAAGCAGCGTTTCTCAAGGGGTGGGCCGAGGACAGGTCACATGAAAATCATTTCTCATTGCATGTTTGACTCATTATCGATAGCCAATCACTAGGTAGGTCTAAGTGGAGGTAGTTGTCCAATACTTGTCTCAGTAATTATCAAGTAACACCAAACACCGTTTAGTGGTTGTTTACCATCCTGTCATTACAGCCTCGCCAGATTAGATTTTTAGATTTTGCCACCGAAGTGGCTAGTTTATTGTGCACCCCATATCCATCCTGTGGACGGTAGCGCGAGAGCATATGGATACACAAAAGGCCTAGGAACTAGGCCCCAAAGGGTTAACAGGAATACATATGGATTTATATCTACATATCTATAGTCAAGTCATCCCTTAATACTGTTTAAAGTTAATGCCTAATTAATTTAATATTGAGCAGTTAATTATAAGCTGTACCTAGATATATAGTTACTCTGAAACTACATGCAATTAAGAAAAATTTAACTAAAAGAAATAAAAAAAGATCTACATAAAAGGTGGTATAAATTATTTAACATAGTGTATTTTTGAAGTTTTTGTATTAAAACTGTTATAGAAAAAAAATATAATTTAATTTATTTAATTCTTTGTCACTTCTGTCAATTTTAGTTTGGATTATACATAGTCAATGAACTGGTAAAATGAGTTTTTTGAAACTGCGGAGACGAACTGTAAAAAAATGTCTCAATATAATTTATGGCGAGTTCTGACCATGAGACAAACCTAGGTGGTCCCTCATTATGATGAGACATACCTAGGTGGTCCCTCATTATGATGAGACATACCTAGGTGGCCTCTCACTATGATGAGACATACCTAGGTGGTCCCTCATTATGATGAGACATACCTAGGTGGTCCCTCACTATGATGAGACATACCTAGGTGGCCTCTCACTATGATGAGACATACCTAGGTGGTCCCTCACTATGATGAGACATACCTAGGTGGTCCCTCATTATGATGAGACATACCTAGGTGGCCTCTCACTATGATGAGACATACCTAGGTGGTCCCTCACTATGATGAGACATACCTAGGTGGTCCCTCACTATGATGAGACATACCTAGGTGGTCCCTCATTATGATGAGACATACCTAGGTGGTCCCTCACTATGATGAGACATACCTAGGTGGCCTCTCACTATGATGAGACATACCTAGGTGGTCCCTCACTGTGATGAGACATACCTAGGTGGTCCCTTACCACGATGAGACATACCTAGGTGGTCCCTCACTATGATGAAACATACCTAGGTGGTCCCTCACTATGATGAGACATACCTAGGTGGTCCCTCACTATGATGAGACATACCTAGGTGGTCCCTCACTATGATGAGACATACCTAGGTGGTCCCTCACTATGATGAGACATACCTAGGTGGTCCCTCACTATGATGAAACATACCTAGGTGGTCCCTCACTATGATGAAACATACCTAGGTGGTCCCTCACTATGATGAGACATACCTAGGTGGTCCCTCACTATGATGAAACATACCTAGGTGGTCCCTCACTATGATGAAACATACCTAGGTGGTCCCTCACTATGATGAAACATACCTAGGTGGTCCCTCACTATGATGAAACATACCTAGGTGGTCCCTCACTATGATGAAACATACCTAGGTGGTCCCTCACTATGATGAAACATACCTAGGTGGTCCCTCACTATGATGAAACATACCTAGGTGGTCCCTCACTATGATGAGACATACCTAGGTGGTCCCTCACTATGATGAGACATACCTAGGTGGTCCCTCACTATGATGAAACATACCTAGGTGGTCCCTCACTATGATGAAACATACCTAGGTGGTCCCTCACTATGATGAGACATACCTAGGTGGTCCCTCACTATGATGAAACATACCTAGGTGGTCCCTCACTATGATGAAACATACCTAGGTGGTCCCTCACTATGATGAAACATACCTAGGTGGTCCCTCACTATGATGAAACATACCTAGGTGGTCCCTCACTTATGATGAAACATACCTAGGTGGTCCCTCACTATGATGAAACATACCTAGGTGGTCCCTCACTATGATGAAACATACCTAGGTGGTCCCTCACTATGATGAGACATACCTAGGTGGTCCCTTACCACGATGAGACATACCTAGGTGGTCCCTCACTATGATGAAACATACCTAGGTGGTCCCTCACTATGATGAGACATACCGAGGTGGCCCCTTACCATGATGAGACATACCTAAGTGGTCCCTCACTATGATGAGAAATACCTAGGTGGTCTCTTACCATGATGAGACAAACCTAAGTGGTCCCTCACTGTAATGAGAAATACCTAGGTGGTCCCTTACCATGATGAGACATACCTAAGTGGTCCCTCACTATGATGAGAAATACCTAGGTGGTCTCTTACCATGATGAGACATACCTAAGTGGTCCCTCACTGTAATGAGAAATACCTAGGTGGTCCCTTACCATGATGAGACATACCTAAGTGGTCCCTCACTATGATGAGAAATACCTAGGTGGTCCCTTACCATGATGAGACATACCTAAGTGGTCCCTCACTATGATGAGAAATACCTAGGTGGTCCCTTACCATGATGAGACATACCTAAGTGGTCCCTTACCATGATGAGACATACCTAAGTGGTCCCTCACTATGATGAGAAATACCTAGGTGGTCCCTTACCATGATGAGACATACCTAGGTGGTCCCTCACTATGATGAGACATGCCTAAGTGGTCCCTCACTATGATGAGAAATACCTAGGTGGTCCCTTACCATGATGAGACATGCCTAAGTGGTCCCTCACTATGATGAGAAATACCTAGGTGGTCCCTTACCATGATGAGACATACCTAGGTGGTCCCTTACCATGATGAGACATACCTAGGTGGTCCCTTACCATGATGAGACATACCTAGGTGGTCCCTTACCATGATGAGACATACCTAGGTGGTCCCTTACCATGATGAGACATACCTAGGTGGTCCCTTACTATGATGAGACATACCTAGGTGGTCCCTTACCATGATGAGACATACCTAGGTGGTCCCTTACCATGATGAGACATACCTAGGTGGTCCCTTACCATGATGAGACATACCTAGGTGGTCCCTCATTACGATGTTTTGATTTTAAATTCAAAATAACATTTATATAACTTCCTTTAAAACTATATCTTCTTTGTGATTTGACTTTAAAGACAAAATAAAAATGTATTAATGAACTGAAAATTATTCGGTACGAGTCATGGTGTCTTTTTTTTTATGAGGGCGGTGCCTCCTAACTTGAGAACCTGGCTACGTCACTGAGTAGAACTTATATTCATAATTTCTTTGCATAATGGAAAAGGGAACAAGAGAAAATGTAAGAGTTGTTGAGGCATACAGCAGACTTTTTTGTAAAAAAAAAAAAAATGAAAGTTACAGGAAATGCAGTAGGCTTTCAGAGGAACATGATGTATGCAGCATGGAACAAGAAACATGTCCCAGCAATGTATAATGTGCGCATTATGCATAAATAAGTGAAGAAATTATAAGACAGTATAGTGACATGAACGGTATAATTCGGGAATGAAAGAGAGGTTATTGAGGTAATGTGATCCTTTAGAAAGGATAGAGCAAGATAGGATGATCGTAATACTAAATCTGTAGGGAATGGAAAAAGGTGTAGGTAACGTCCGTAGAAGGTTGTGAAAGCTTTTAAAGAGGTTGGGTATAAAACAACCAGCAGGCATATATGAGTGTGCTAAGTCGGAGTAGAAACAAGTTTATTTTGAGATATAACACGATGTTAAAGTGTTGTTGTGGAGGTAAGATGTGCACTTTGAAAGACCTTACCAGGATTTATATATTTTATTATCGGTGAGGAAATCACCGATGGCGTTTTTATTAGTTTTAAACATATATAGCGAATTATTATTTTAAATTTTATTTAATATACTAACTCATTAAATGTGAGGCCTTATGGATTAGTTTTGATATTCTCAGTCTCTGGTAGCCTCAGGAGTGTGGTCATAATGACCGAGTTATATCTATGTTATACATCACACAAACTTTCCACTTTTCATCTCCTCCACTTAGATGTGCACTCAAGAGGTGTGGGTGAGACGGGTCGGGAGTGGAGCACCTGGCTGAAGAAGGAGCTGACGTGGAAGAGAGAACTAGTGCTTATCAAGGTTATCCAGTTCCTGTACTCTGGAGGCGAGTCCTTGGTGCTTGTGTGCTGCCATGTTGTCAGTATTCCCGCGATCTTCTGTCGCCGGTTTATTATTTTCATTCTGTCATTGTTGGCAACATCCTGGTATGGTGCCATTGTTGGCAACATCCTGGCATGGTGCCATTGTTAGGAACATCCTAGCATGGTGCCATTGTTGAAAACGCTCTTGTTCCGCATATAATAAGTAAATTAAGAAGTATTGCATGACTCTTGACAATGATCCAGGAAGGACCGAAACGCCTACTTTCCGATTCCAGTTTGAGTTAGCTGTCAATGGTACCGACAGAGATATTAATAATTTAATATAGTAATAATAATAATATCTTTATTTCTACAAGTAAGTGTACAGGCTAGCTGACATCAGTGACATACTACTACATAGAAAGCCCCTTGTTTTGCATAGCATTTCGTGCAAATTAGGTCAGTTTTGTCCCAGGATGTGACCCACACCAGTCGACTAACTCCCAGGTACCAATTTTTACTGATGGGAGAACATAGACAACCGGTGTAAGGAAGCGCTCAATGTTTCTATCCTTGCCGGGAATCGAACCCAGACATCAACATGTGAGACGAGAGCTTTGCCACCAGGCCACGGGCCTGGTGCAACGTCTCTTATAAAGATACCAAGATGTTGTAGTATATGTGTCTTATCTATTATCTCGTCGACATTATGAAGCTTTGATGTAAATAAATTTGTATTGTGATTTAGTATGTACTGTCGTGTACAGTTTATTATCTGTATTATCACTACATACCCATGATTTAGGCGGTAGTCCAAAAATTACAGAGGTTCATAATGGGTCCGGGTGGCTGGGCCACAAAGTTTCGATAGCTAAGCAAGTTACAGTGGTAATGAACTATTTACAAACGTACACAGGTACGTCGTCCTTCTTGCCTTACTTGACGCTGCACATGCAACAGCTGGGCCTCAGTGTCATGGAGATCGCCACTATATACACCGTCCTCCCCGTCGCCTCCATTCTGGGCCCGCCCATCTCAGGTAATTTACTAATAATTATTATTATTATTATTTTAAAGCACTAAACCCGCAGAGGTCATACAGTTCTCGGTAAATTTCAGGTAAACAGGTTTCCCTGCTAAATGGTTTCCCTGCTTCCCTTCATAAATACAGTATTACATTGTTCACACTAATAGCATTTCAACTCCTAAGAATCCCTTTCAGCCGCTCTCCGTTCAAACACACTCACATACGCCTTCTGGATGCTCATGCTCCTTGCCTTATCTTATTTTATCATCTTCTATACCATCGTAAGACAACCCCTGCCTCGTCAACAACTCTCTTTCCCTTCATCTGAATCATACCTTTTGTATCCCCACACTGTCTTCGAGTTTCTATGTTCGGAATTCTTTACACCACACATTCCTCTTAAACATGTCCATCCCTAACATTCATTTATGTGTTGGTATCGATATTCTCTAGTGTATTTCCCTTTCGCCTCTATAGGTAAACGTTTCTTTCCATAGATCCCTCGCTTTCAATAATCCATTTATACTATTTTCTCTTCATCTATTCTATGACTGACCACGTCTTCCACAGACCCATCTTCGACACACCCACTCTAGATGCATTCATTTCAGATGTTCTACTAGTGACCTACGTCTCACCTCCTGGCGCTATATAAGGCTCCATCCTGTCACTTCAACTCCATTTTGTTTCAAACTTTGGAACAATGCTCTTCTCCAGACTGAGGGACTCACCACCTCAAAACTTTAAGGGTGATGGACTGATTACATCGTCTTCAAGTCTCGACTGTACTCAACTGAAGAAGCCTACTGTGTAGGCGAAACGTTTCGAAATAAAGATACCTAACTGTTGCATATGTGTCTTACCTAACAACCTGTCGGTATTTTATACCATTTTAATGTTCAGTGAACCAGGTGCTAAGGGTTAACGATGGGGCCCCGTCGTTCAATCAGTACCCAGGTTCCAGCCAATGAGAAAATGGTTTTGGCAATTGCAGAGGTGTTGTGGGTACCACACACCTGTCTGCCCTTGTAATTCTCATTCTAGAGCTGGTTAAAGCACGGTCTGCTCTCTAGTGGCTTCTATTCTGCCTTGCTTACCGTGGAGTACACTAATACCTATTGTTGTACATAGTGTATATAGTGTACATAATTCTGTTCTTACTTGGTGAAGGATAATATAAGTCATAAGTTTTTCTGCTGTGTTTATTTTGCTTCCTTTACACCCAGGATAACAGGCATTTGGACTCCTGGGTTGTAATAGCGCACGTCACAGGTAGCCCCGTATACCATAACTCCAGCCCCATGTACCTCAATATACGCAAGAGTTAGTTTACTATCTTCTTTATACACCCCATTCTCACACTGTCAGCGGTCGACAAGGAATACAAAGGTTTATACTGGGTTAAGAAACCTGGCCCCAAAGTTTTGCTAGCTAAGTTAGTGGTAATGAACTATTTACAAATTAATGCTCTGGTAGCAATTATAATGAGTTATTCATATAGACATGAATTCATTAACAAAAATATTACAATGTAGCTTATATGCGATTATGAATTATTTATTTTATCTAGTCTGAGTGACTCGTGAAATCGTAATGACACGATTGTAAACATTTGACTATACGGAGGACTCGAAGCCATGGCAAGCCAATCCTGAAATTAGCAGGCCAGTGTGCTAGCTAGATGAACCTTGTTAAGCTAGCATCGTACAGTGGATAACACACTGACCTGCTAATTATTATAAGACTAGCTTGTCATGGGTTCAAGCCCTGTTTGGTTTAGCGCTTCTTTTTTATTATAATAATAATCAAGCCCTGTGTGCGAGGAGATATAATACCCAACATTTCAGCAAAGTGTGGCTGAATTTAAACAAGTTTAAGTAGTTAAGAGTTATTTACATTAAGCAAAGTCGGGGTATTTTTTCCAGAACGGCTGATAATATACTACTATACTGTCGATAAAAAAATACATTTCTTGACCATTTGTGTGAGCTGTGCCCGAATTCATGTTTTTTTTTCCCCACTCCAGTACCTAATGATGCAGGGTTTCATAAGTTTTTTTTTCTTGGTTATGTCTACATTAGCTGGTATTGTAAAATCCTGGAGGTGGTAATTAACATGGTGCTGACAGTGATCTTGTTTGTTTAAGGTCTGGTGGCTGACTGATCTTGTTTATTTAAGGTCTGGTGGCTGACAGGTGTGGGAGGTTTAAGGCGGTGGTGGTACTCAACATGGTGCTGACAGTGATCTTGCACTGTCTCTTGTTGTACGTACCGGCACGACTCTCACCCACCTTGAAGATGTCTTGTGGGCCTCAAGGTCATGTCCTCACCTGGTCCTCCTGCCTCGCTTGTCACCAACACCTCAACAGCACCCAACAACAACTTACTTTCCAGGTCATCTCTAATTTAACTGTCCGCAATTTAACATTTTGTGCCCTATCATTGTCTACAACTGGGAACCACGATAATATCACCGAATATGAGAATGCACCAAGTTCAGATTTTGTCCCAAAGATCGAGTTCATTGCTCATAAGAACATACGAAAGAAGGAACATCGCAGTAGGCCTACTGGGCCATGCGGAGCAGGTCCATGTCAACCTCCGGCTTAGACCAATGGCCCACCCAGTCAGGTCACCTCCTCTTAAGGAAGAAGCACGGCATATGACCCAGTAGCATCAGCTAGCCAGGTCCAACTCACACTCACCCACACCCACTCATGCATTTATCTAACCTATTTTTAAAACAACACAACGTCTTAGCTTCTATAACGGTACTCGGGAGTTTGCTCCAATCATCCACAACTCTATTACCAAACCAGTGCTTTCCTACATCCTTCCTGTTACTACTTTGATGTCGTAACTTAAATAAAATGGTCCTGGCTCCTAAAGGCTGTTCACACTGCTGTCTAGGGGTTATAAAATTACTCTGAAAAAGACAGCAAACCTTGGGCCAGCATGTACTCATATATTAAACAATATTAATTATTATTAGGAAGGAAGGACAAAAACTCACTTACATAAAAATATATATATATTAATAGTAACTTATATACAACTTATAACTACTACAAAAAACCACCACACTCCAGTTCACATTAATTCACTAGCACACTGCTACTGATGGATCGACACCATGCCTAACCCTTCTAGGGTAGGGTAGGTGCCTGAGCCCGAGCCTTTAGCTCATAAGACTGTCATTCCCATTTGCCCCCTTGGGGCGGGGATGGCAAACCAGAGAGGCCTAGCTTGTGGCTAGGCCTGGGGACAGTTGGTCCCAAAGATGAGGAGGTACTTGTGCCTCCTCCCATGGGAGACTTAGGTCTCAGACACTCCCTAAAGAGGGAGCCAAGGCCGGGCCACCACTTGGACAAGGCCCGGGCCGGGAGAATACCGGCTAATCTTTAACTAACTAACTAACTGCTACTGATGAGTTAAACAAAAGAAATGAACATTTATGAACAGGGAGGCTGAATGACACCCCTCTTTCTGCAAGCTACATAGCCTACAGTGGAAACGTTAGTCTCCGAAACACAAGCCCCTGCTTACTAGGGCTTTACCTATAAACACGAGAGCATTCAAACACAAACACCTATGGTATACACTAAAAAACTTACCAAAATTACCTACTCAAACTACCGCCAAATATTACGTTTGCCATTTTCCACTTATCTGGCATTATGCCAGTTTGTAGTGATATGTTGAAAAGATTAGCAAAAGGTTTACTAAGTTCCTCTTTACATTCCTTTAACACCCTTGCAAACAATTCGTCATGGCCTGGGGATCTGTTAGGTTTTAATTTCTTTATTTGTCTGAGAACCATGTCACTAGTTACCGCAATCGTGCATAGTTTATTAACGTCCTGTTCTACATAATCTATTATTTCAGGAATATCGCTAGTATTTTCCTGGGTGTAATAAAGTTGGTAGAATTACCGACAATATGTAAAGTAAAAGGACACAAGTGCAACTAATGTGAGATTTTATTGTGGCAACGTTTCGCTCTCCAGGAGCTTTGTCAAGCCGATACCGTATCGGCTTGACAAAGCTCCTGGAGAGCGAAACGTTGCCACAATAAAATGTCACATTAGTTGCACTTGTGTCCTTTTACTTTACATTTTCCTGGGTGAAAACTGAGAGGAAGTAGGTATTGAGAATTTCACACATAGCCTTATCACTGTCAGTGATCTGACCAGAGTTACTCTTAAGTGGGCCTATCTTGTCCCTAATCTTACTTCTGTATACCTGAAAGAACTCTTTTGGGTTAGTCTTCGAATCCCTTGCGACCTTAGCCTCATAATTCCTTTTTGCTTTTCATATTCCTTTTTTTCTCTCTTTAATTGAATATATTGATTTCTTAACTGCCCATCCCCTCTTTTGGTATACGTAAATATGCCTCTCTTTTGACAAATGAGATGTTTTAATCTATTGTTCATCCATTTGGGATCCTTTTTGTTACATCTAATTTCCCTACTCGGAAAAAAAGTTGTCTGGGCATCTAGGACTATGCTCTGAAAAAGGTCATATTGGCAACCAACACCACCAACCTGACCCATAGTCAGGTCATCCCAATTTAGCCCACTCAGGTAATTTCTCAGTGCCATGAAATCGGCCAAGTAGAAGTGTGGGACAGAGACTTGATTTCAGTTATCTGGATAATTCCATGATATATTGAAACTAAGTGATTTGTGATTGCTTTCCCCAAGCTCATCATTAACCTCAAGATTATTAGTTAGTGATTCTTTGTTGACAAGAACCAAGTCAAGCAGGTTGTTTCCTCTAGTTGGCTCTGTCACAAACTGTTTTAAAAAGCAATCCTGAACCTTATCAACAAAGTCACTAGATTCAAGATTTCCTGTCACATTGTTCTAATCAATTTGTCTAAAGTTAAAATATCTTATTAACACAACATTTTCATGTCTGGATGCCTTATGAATTTCATACCATAGCAGCTTACTGCACTCTCCATCAAGGTGTGGGGGCCTATAAATCACACCCAAAATTAACTTTTCACGACCCTCGAGAAACTGTAGCCTAACAGATTCTGTGTCTTCTGTTCCTAATATTATATATTGTCTAACAACAATTTAAATTATGTCTGACATACATCACCACTCCACCACCCTTGCTGTTGACCCTATCAGTGTGGAATAGTTTATAACCCTGTATGTTGCATTCAAAAGGCATTTCTCTATCTTTCAAGTTGAACCAGGTCTCTGTTATAACAATAATATCTATATTACCTGCACTTACAAGTAATCTTAGCTCATCTATCTTATTTCTTAGACTCCTACTATTTGTATAGTAAACCTTAAGGGAGCTAGTCACTCGTTGCCCTCTACTATCTCTCTTTGTTGATCAGCTGCTTTGCCTTTACTAGCAACTTTATTTTGAATATTGTCTTTTAAACATATCCCTGAGGTATCCTGGTTATATCTGCTGTTTTCAACCCTAGTACTGCAGCCTTTTTGTTTCCCCACAGACACCCATGCCTCTATAATCTATCAGTTTAAAGTCCTAGACAAGTCATCAATGACCCCCTCAATTGAATTGGCTAATGCAACCACTCCAACCCCAGAGAGATGAACCCCATCCCTTGCATGCATATCACATTTGCCATAGAATGTCCCAGTTATCAATGAATGGGATTGCAAGTTCCTTGCAGTACCTGTCTAGCCAGCAATTTATACCAATTGCCCTTGACATCCATTCATTGCCCACTCCCCTTCTTGGCAAGATGCTACATATGATTGGGATCCCTCCCTTAGACCTGACTACATCTATGGCTGACCTGTACTTATCCAGCAGCTCCTGTCTCCTGCCCTTCCCAATGTCATTTCCACCAGCATTAAGACAGATAATGGGCTTATTCCCATTGCCTGACATAATATTATCCAACCTGCTGACTATGTCACCAACACCTGCTCTTGGGAGGCAAACCCTCTGTCTGACCTTTTTATCTTTGTTACAAAAAGTACAGCCCATATATCTTACCTGAGAATCTCCCACAATTAAAATATTCTTACCTTGATAAGCAGGGGAGTCAGTGGTACCTTTAACCTCACTAACCGCTGAAGTACACTCATCCTGGAGAACAGAGAATCGATTTCCTACCTTCACATCTTCTCTATTAACTTTTCTTATCATCCTTCTTCCTGAATTGTGAATCACTTGCCACTTAAAGTGGCTGCCGCTCTCCAAATCACTGCTGGTAACTTGTTCCTCCTTACCAGCTACAACCATCTCACACTCACTCCCATGCCCATCTAGACGAAGCTTCAGCCTCCTATTTTCCTCCTGAAGAAGTAGAACCTCCTTCTTCAACACTTTAATGTGGGATTCTAAAACACTATAACAAGCCATGGTGCTAGGTAATACCCCACGCTAAATCCCAGACAGCTTAGGACAGATATGACCACACGTGACCACTGACCTCAGCACCACTCATCATGTAAGTGAATATACACCAGAAAGATTGTACATATTAACCCAAATAGATAACAGGTTATTGGTGTTTCACCCATGTTCATCAAAGTACATATGTCAAAGTTCCTCACGACCGGTAATGAGACAAATCGTGTCAAATTCATATGGCCTTTCAAACGACATTTGACCGACGAGGTATGACAGCTCTAAAAGTGTAGCCTTAATTTTAAGTCTTAGTTTACTAACACCATCAGATAGCTAGCTGGGAATGTAAGAATGTTGTAAGGCTTTGAGAATGAGTTGTAGCATAACCAATAGAAAAGGGTGGTGTTTCGAACCCATGTTCAACAAAGTCTACAATTATGTAGTTCTTACTATTTCGTTAGTCAAGATTGCGTTGTAAATATTGGGAGTAAGTTGGAGGGTGTGTAAGTAATGAAAAGTGTAGCATTAAGTCATATAAAATCACTTTCAAGTATGTCTGGTGTAACAATATTTTTCACTTTATTATTATTATTATGAATCAAAAGGATAGCGTAACCACAGGGCTATACAGCTAAAATTTCAGTTATTCATTTGTTATGTCATAAGACTCAGTGTAATATATTGGGCAGAGGTGCAAGTGGTTTTGAATTTTTATTTACATTATATCTTTAAAGTAGCTTCTAAATTTATTTCATCTATTTATTATTTTATTATTCATAATAAAATGTTGTAATGTGAAAGATACATTGGGCAGACTGGAAACTTACTACAGTGACTCTGTAAGGAAACCACATTTGAATGGTATATTATCAATAACTACGAGTTAAATTTAACAAATGTATGTTTTGAGAGTTGTGATTTGAATTTTAATATTATTATAAGCTTTAAGTTAAATTACGTGAACAAATGTTTAATGTTTTGCAGAGAATTAAGTTTTGAATGTTGTAATATTATCATAAGCTCACGAGGTTAAATACGTGAAGCAAATATATGTTTTGCAGAGTTGTGAGTTTGAATGTTCATCGCCGCCTTCTGAGGTGACTGTGTGTCTCCACGCAGACCAATACTGTGACTGTCACAACTACACTCTCACTGACCAGGTACACTCATCTTCATCCAATTTCTGAGGAATGCATTTACACTGAGGAGGTATGGCAATATTGAGATGAGGAGGGTTGTGAATTATCATTACTTTCATGGAAAGCGCTAGGGGTCATACAGCATCTGGTGAAAGAGAGGTTATTATTTTTGATCCAAGGGAGTGAAGGTTAGCTCCAATTCCTTGGATCATGACCACTCTCCTTGAAAGGAAGGAGAGTTTTTTTTTAAAGTTAAGCACTAAACCCATGTGGGTCATTAATTAAGCAAAAGACGCGGCGGAGGTTTTATCCCCCGGATGCCAAGCACGAAACAAATGTGCTTCCTATTCGTACTCGCCTTGATGCCTCAAGTATCTAATTAAACTAATAAACTAAGTGGTTCCCAACAGATCACCATAAATGGTACATTGTTGTCGTGGAGGGAGAAGGAGCGGTGCTACCACACCTGGTCAGACCTGGTATACGACGACCACTTGTACCACTCCCTCACCTGTTCTCCCCAGTGTTCTGTCGAGTGCCAAGTGACGCAGGTGCCACAGTGCCACCTGCCTGATCATCTCTCCCACTATTCCAACACATTCTGGATATATCTCATCCTCCGCGTGCTTGCTACGTTCTTCTTAAACTCACTATTTACTATGATGGTGAGTGACTCACGGGTAACGTCTGGTACACTGTCTTAATAGACATGAATACTGATTACGTGCTTATTAAAGTTTAAGCTTTTGATATATTTTCTAGAGCGTTAATGTTCTGTATCACGAAACTGATTAGTCTTAAAGTGTTTTATGTAGCGTCAGTACTCTTTAAATTGATTGTTCTTGATATGTTTCATGCGGTGTGAACGTTTTGGTGGGTGGTAGGATGCGGTGACCCTTGCAGTAGTAAAGCAGCATGAAGGTGACTACGGCAAGCAGCGCTTCATGTTCATCCTGGGACTGGCCACAGTCCCCCTCCTGGCAGGGCTCTTCCTCGACTGGCGATACCAAGTCACAGGTAGGTGACTTCCCTCCTGTATGACGCCATACACCGCGTGTGCGTGCGTGTGTGCATGTGGAGAGAGGGTATGTAGGTAATACTGAGTTAGTTTAATATGTTTATTATGTACCCCATACCCATCCTGTGGGCGGTAGTCAAAAGATTACAGAGGTACATAATGGGTCCAGGGACTGGACTCCAAAGTTTTGATAGCTGAGCAAGTAACAGTGGTAATGAACTCACAATTTACAAAGGTAATGAACTCCAGGTAGGTCTGGTCACAATCATGACAAGTTACAAAGGTATTTACAGATTACAGAGGTACGTAATGGGTCCAGGGACTGGGCCCCCAAAGTTTGGATGGCTGAACTAGGTACAAGGTAATGAACTCACAAGTTACAAAGGTAATGAATCCTGTAAGAATGGTTACTTACGTTTATACATGGCTACAATCATGAACAAATTATAGTGTAATGAGCAATTCACACTTCCACACCCGGTCACAACTGTAATGAGTTACTGGTGCAAATATTGATTGTTGAGTCACACACACACACACACGCACACACACACACACACACATTAGCCAGTGAAACTGAAGAAAGGAAAGCTGCAGTGCAGGAAACCAAATTAAATGAGGGGATACACAGGGATAAGCAGTGGGAGAATGAAAGGGTGAGGTCAGTCTTTGTGTATGGGCTCCAGGAAGCTGAAGGGGAAACATATGAAGCAAGAAAACAAGGGGAAAAAAAAGCAATTGAAAGCATCATGAAAGCAATAGGAGAAGACGACATGACCCAGCTGGAAAATTTTCGGAGAATAGGGGGGTTTGTAAAAAAAAGAACCCGGCCAGTGAAAGTGACCTTCAAGGCAGAAGCGACTCGGACCAGGATCCTGCAGGAGAAAGCACGATTAAGGGACATGCCGGCATACAGGAAGGTGTATCTCGACCGCGACAGATAACAAGAAGAAAGGCAGAAACTGAGAGAGATGTTACAAAGGCGAAAGGAGGAAAGAGAGGGGATGGAGAAGACAGACAGGAGATCCCAGACCCAGGAAGAAGATCAAATACAGCCTCCCTCACAACTTCCTATAGAAGCCTCCCAACCAGGTCAACCCCAGTGCAACCAAACACTCTAAATCAAAACACCCATGCCACATCCAATGCCTCCACCCACTACATTACAAACTCCACCCCTACAGCAACAACCCATAGTTCCTTACCAGGTCTCCCACTTCCCCAACCCCAATATACCTCCCAGACCACAGTCTTAGAAAAGAAGTTGAAGGTGTGGTATACAAATGCAGATGGAATAACAAACAAGTATGAGGAGTGGCACGAAAGAATCAAAGAGACATCCCCAGACATAATAGCACTCACAGAAACAAAACTCACCAGAATAATAACAGATTCAATCTTTCCATCCGGATATCAAATCCTCAGGAAAGACAGAGGGAGGAGAGGGGGAGGAGGAGTTGCACTGCTCATTAAAAACCAGTGGGGTTTTGAGAAAATGGAAGGAATGGATGGCATGGGCGAAAGGGACTACTTAGTAGGAACAATCCAGTCTGAGGGACATAAGGTGATAATTGCAGTAATGTACAACCCACCACAGAACTGCAGGAGGCCAAGAGAAGAATATGATGAGAGCAACAGAGCAATGATCGACACACTAGCCGAGGTGGCCAGGAGAGCACACATGGGAGGAGCAAAGTTACTAGTTATGGGTGATTTCAATCACAAGGAGATTGAGGTTAAGACACATGTGCAACATCTGGATATCTTTATTGTAGTAGACGTTTCGCCATCCAGTGGCTTTATCAATACAGATTCTAGGACATAATAGGAAGACAGTAGAACTATATACAAAAGATGAGGTAATCAGTCCCTCGGCCTTGGAGTTAGTGTTCACAGCATCGTGGTGCAGGAGAATCTGGAGCAAAGACAAGAAGACTGGCGGTTTATATAGGCGTCAGTGGATAGGGACGGGCAGCAGGCGAGGGCAAAGTCACTGGTAGGCGGGATTCCCCAGTGGAAGTAGGTCCTTCCCAAAGACCTTCACGGCTGCTGCAACTAACCCATCTCTTTGGGAAGGACCTACTTCCACTGGGGAATCCCGCCTACCAGTGACTTTGCCCTCGCCTGCTGCCCGTCCCTATCCACTGACGCCTATATAAACCGCCAGTCTTCTTGTCTTTGCTCCAGATTCTCCTGCACCACGATGCTGTGAACACTAACTCCAAGGCCGAGGGACTGATTACCTCATCTTTTGTATATAGTTCTACTGTCTTCCTATTATGTCCTAGAATCTGTATTGATAAAGCCACTGGATGGTGAAACGTCTACTACAATAAAGATATCCAGATGTTGCACATGTGTCTTAACTTTCATATTGTCGGTATTTTATACCTTTCTTGCACAACTTGTCAGACACTGCAACATCATGGAATCTTGGTTCAGAGGACATCTACAAGACCTTCACGGCTGCTGCAACTAACCCATCTCTTTGGGAAGGACCTACTTCCACTGGGGAATCCCGCCTACCAGTGACTTTGCCCTCGCCTGCTGCCCGTCCCTATCCACTGACGCCTATATAAACCGCCAGTCTTCTTGTCTTTGCTCCAGATTCTCCTGCACCACGATGCTGTGAACACTAACTCCAAGGCCGAGGGACTGATTACCTCATCTTTTGTATATAGTTCTACTGTCTTCCTATTATGTCCTAGAATCTGTATTGATAAAGCCACTGGATGGCGAAACGTCTACTACAATAAAGATATCCAGATGTTGCACATGTGTCTTAACTTTCATATTGTCGGTATTTTATACCTTTCTTGCACACAAGGAGATTGACTGGGAAAACCTGGAGCCCCATGGGGGTCCCGAAACATGGAGAGCCAAGATGATGGATGTGGTACTGGAAAACCTCATGCATCAACATGTTAGAGACACTACCAGAGAGAGAGGAGAGGATGAACCAGCAAGACTGGACCTTGTATTCACCATGAGTAGTTCGGACATCGAGGGTATCATGTATGAAAGGCCTCTGGGAGCTAGTGATCATGTGGTTCTGTGCTTCGACTACATAGTTGAGCTCCAAGTGGAGAGAGTAGCAGGAATAGGCTGGGAAAAACCAAACTACAAAAGGGGGAATTACTCAGGCATGAGGAACTTCCTTCAAGACATTCAGTGGGAGAGGGAACTGACAGGAAAACCAGTACAAGAAATGATGGACTATGTAGCAACAAAATGCAAGGAGGCAGAGGAAATAATGGGAAATAATGGGAAGAACAGAACGAGTCCTTGGTTCACCCAAAGGTGTAGGGAGGCAAAAACTAGGTGTACTAGAGAATGGAAAAGGTACAGAAGACAGAGAACTCAGGAAAATAAAGAAATCAGCCGAAGAGCCAGGAACGAATATGCACAGATAAGAAGGGAGGCTCAGAGACAATATGAAAATGACATAGCATCAAAAGTAAAGACTGACCCGAAGCTGTTGTACAGCCACATCAGGAGGAAAACAACAGTCAAGGACCAGGTAATCAGACTGAGGAAGGGTGATGGGGAATTCACAAGAAACGACCAAGAGGTATGTCAGGAGCTCAACACAAGATTTAAAGAGGTATTTACAGTGGAACCCAGTAGGACTCCAGGAAATCAGAACAGGGGGGCACACCCGCAAGTGCTGGATGAGGTACATATAACCAAGGAGGAGGTGAAGAAGCTGCTATGCGAACTTGACACCTCAAAGGCGGTGGGACCAGACAACATCTCTCCATGGGTCCTTAAAGAGGGAGCAGAGATATTGTGTGAGCCATTAACAAAGATCTTCAACACATCACTTGAAACTGGGCAACTCCCTGAGGTATGGAAAATGGCAAATGTAGTCCCAATTTTTAAAAAGGGAGACAGACATGATGCACTAAACTACAGACCTGTATCACTAACGTGTATAGTATGCAAGGTCATGGAGAAGATCATCAGGAGGAGAGTGGTGGGGCACCTGGAAAGAAACAAGTGTATAATTGACAACCAGCACGGTTTCAGGGAAGGAACATCCTGTGTCACAAACCTACTGGAGTTTTATGACAAGGTGACAGAAGTAAGACAAGAGAGAGAGGGGTGATCGACTGCATATTTTTTGGACTGCAAGAAGGCCTTCGACACAGTTCCTCACAAGAGGTTACTGCAAAAGCTAGAGGATCAGGCACACATAACAGGAAAGGCACTGCAATGGATCAGAGAATACCTGTCAGGGAGGCAACAACGAGTCATGGTACGCGACGGGGTTTGTCAGAGTGGGCGCCGTGACAAGCGGGGTTCCACAGGGTCAGTCCTAGGACCTGTGCTGTTCTTGGTATATGTGAACGACATAACTGAAGGGATAGACTCAGAAGTGTCCTTGTTTGCAGATGATGCGAAGTTAATGAGAAGAATCAAATCGGATGAGGATCAGGCAGGACTACAAAGACCTGGACAGGCTACAAGCCTGGTCCAGCAACTGGCTCCTTGAATTTAACCCTGCCAAATGCAAAGTCATGAAGATTGGGGAAGGACAAAGAAGACCGCAGACACAATATAGTTTAGATGGCCAAAGACTGCGAACCTCACTCAAGGAAAAAGATCTGGGGGTGAGTATAACACCGAGCATATCTCCTGAGGCGCACATCAATCAGATAACTGCTGCAGCATACGGGCGCCTGGCAAACCTACGGATAGCGTTCCGATACCTCAGTAAGGATTCGTTTAGGACTCTGTATACCATTTATGTCAGGCCCATACTGGAGTATGCAGCACCAGTTTGGAATCCACACCTAGTCAAGCACGTCAAGAAATTAGAGAAAGTGCAAAGGTTTGCAACAAGACTAGTCCCAGAGCTACGGGGATTGTCCTACGAAGAAAGGTTGAGGGAAGTTGGCCTGACGACACTGGAGGACAGGAGGGTCAGGGGAGACATGATAACGACATATAAAATACTGCACGGAATTGACAAGGTGGACAAAGACGGGATGTTCCA